GTCGTCTTCTTATTGCTGTAACTATTTGAAACAAGCCCCTTGCAAATTCGTTACTGTCAGAACATCCATTGCCAGAAAGGGTAGCTTGCAGGGAGCCTTTTGCTGACAGAGAAAGTTCTCCATGTATTGTTTGTTCCAGGTAGCTTATCTGCCACCGTTTACCTCACGTTAAGAGACCAGGGAATTATCTGGTAGCTCATGTGTGGGCAGAATCAATGGTCTTTGTTTTCGGAGAAGTCATATTTTGGGACAATATACCTATGGGAGGCACCAGAAGCTACCTGCTAATAAAGGTTTTCAAGCTCCCCCAGCGGTCCACCTGTAGAGGTCCCTCAGGAGGATGCTCAGGCTTATACCTTTAAGAACAGCCGTACCTTGAGGGCTCACGTCGGAGTCACAGATTGCCAGGCGTACATGTGTGTACCGGGACTGGGGTGGACCATAGGAATCATGTCCCAGCCCTTTGATTACAGACTGTCTTGTCCCTGCCTGGATGACTTTTCAGAAGCTGACAGAGCTTTTACAATTTAATTGGTGTTGACACCTTTTGAAGCCATGCCTTGAGGCACTCAGGTCACCGTGTGCTTTCTGTTTCTTTCCCATGCCTCCACTGGGCTAACGCACAGCCGGCAGTGCCTAGCTGGCCCCTGCACTTTTTTTCATGTTCAGACTTGTTCTGGGTCCTGTTACAAGAGACCTTGTTAAATGCCCAGCAGGCAGCGGTGAATGGAGATTTTGACTATGTGGGATTTGAGGCCTCTGGCAATCATGGAGAATAAACTATAAATATAAAAGTACCCCTGTTGTGGACTGTGTTGTTATCACCAGAGATTTATTCCAGAGCTGCTGTCTGTGCCCGCTCGTGGCGGTGGGCCTTGCAATTAGGTTTCTGCTGTCCATTCTTGGGGTTCTAACTGGGGTTTTCCTCTGTCATTATCGCCAGGTGAGCAGTCTTCTTCCCTCTTGGAGCAGCGTTCTCTCCTAACAGTTGTAGGAATATCATTATGAGTGTGGCTTGTCCTCAGACTTTCTTATCTCCAAGTTCAAGGCCAAGACAACAAGGAACAAGGAAGAGTGAACCCTGCATTGTTTTTCAGGTCCAATTCTGAAAAAAAAAAAAAAAAGTCTTTTTGCCCCTCAGGTGTAATGTTAAACAAGCAACTTAGTTCTTAGTTCCCAAGAGTGACAAGCTGAGTGAGTGTCACCTTGTACAGGGCTTGGTTCAATCTACCGTATTTGAAAAATCAGATGTCCAGCCACAGTTATCAATTGGCTATAAACTCGCAGACCATTAAAAAAGTTCCTCGTTCACAAGCCCCACTAAAAATATTCATATTTATGAAACTGTTGAGATCACTGGAAAAGTGTTGTCCCCTGAACATCAAATGTATGTGGTCTACAGTAGAAAAAAATAAGCCAGACAGGAATTTGAATTTTTAAGTAGATTTAAAAAAATTGAGACCATTAACTTCCATGTTAGTTTGCTGTCCTAGAAGATAAAATATATCAGAGAGACAAAGAGCGTTCTGAAAATATTTGTATGGATGGTTATAAATAGAAAATAACATGGATTAAATAAAACATTGCTTTAAATGTTCCTATTTTTACATAATCAAAATCTACTGACTTTCCAGGTCACTATAAAAATCAAGTAGTAAACAAATAAAAATGTGAGTATTATCAGCAATAATTTTCCAGGGAACTCCATAACTAATTTCCTCCAAATCTGAGGAAAATTCACAACGGATATGATTTCTGTTTGAAACCACATTGTCAGCACAAGATTTAGGTAGAGATCTTTTGTTTCCACAATAAATAATTAACCTTCTTCAGGACTACAGGTGCAGTCAAACAAAAATAAACCAAAACCATCAGAAAAGACCGCTTACCTGGATGGAAAGACACGTGAAGGACAAGTTCACCTTTCCAATGCACCAAAACCAGCAACGGTGGGACTACGGCCAGTTATACTTAGTAACACAAAGCACAATTAAAAAGAACTGTGGGCTTGCCAATGGTATTAGAATTTCCCAGGCTCAGAATGGAGGTATGACACAGGGTTTTCATTGTCTGCAAGGCATGGAGGGGACAGGAAAGACTTGTCCCTGTTAGTCCATGTGAAGGGCCAGTGTTCCCAATGCACTGTGTCATTATAAGTCCCGTGATGTGAGGCTGTCACTAAATGTGTTTGAGGCAAGTATCTTCACTGGGAAACACAGCTATCCACTTCCCTAGGCTGCTGGGGGGTGAAGCAGGCAATCTGTGGGCCAGGACCTATGACACACCAATGAAACAGCTGAAAGAGTTTCATCAGATTTTCTTTTTTTGGAGGGCGGTTGTGTGTGGTCTTGTCTGTTTGTTACTGTTTTCCCACATGACACGGTCTGTTACCTTTTGTACACTGAAGGCTTCGTATGTCCTGGGATTAAAATATTATAACCTTCTCCACAGTTGGCATGTCCTTTTTTGGAGACCTGGAGAAAACATCGGGACATTCATCAGGAAACTGGCCTCTGAATTGGGCACTGACGGGACAGTATTTGGGGGAAATAGTGAGGCATCACTTCAGAGGTATAGCTATGAGGCCTCTTCCTCAGGGAACTTGTATCAACATGAAAGGAACCTCGAGAGAAGGAGCTTAAAAATGCCACGTATGGAACTAGGAATAATGAAATCCTTTCAGGTTGATCTCAAGAGAAGGAAACCATACCTGGGACAGTGGGCTCATGGGGTAAAACAGGGGTCAGCGGGGCTTCTCTAATCTCAGCCCCCGCAGAGACGGCAGTGTGGTCCTCAGCGTGCCCACCCCCAGGCCGCGTGCTGGGGCTGTGACGGGGAAGAACACACATTGTTGGCCTCGGGCTCATCCCCTGGTGAGCCCCTCTGTCCTGCTCACCTCTCACGAGCCCCACATCGGCATTTACAAAATGGCTATGATACTCTGCTGACGGTGCTTGCTGGCTGATCACTTGACTGTCACGTCCATGGAGAACAGAGGATGCATTTTACACATCTTTGCCTCCCAGGCCTTTTCTCGGTGCCTCGTGTTCAGAGGGTGGTCAGCGCACACAGATGAAATGGATATGAACACGTGAACGAGTGAAGAGACCAATGGACGGAGATGTAAGGTGACTCCACTGCTGCTACTTGGACTTACTCCGAGCATGGGGGTCCGTCCTTATCGTCCAGGTCTCAGGGACGCCTTCCCGAACAGCGCTAAGTGGCCTCCCTGGTAACACACCCCATTGGAAACACCCAAGCCCTTGTTATTCTCCGTCTGAAGGCCCCACACCAGCAGAAACGAGGCCACCTCTGCTATCAGCTCTGTCCTCAGCCTCTCGCCAGGTACCTGCCAAGTAGAAGGAGCTAAATCAATACGTGTTCAATGAGTGCACGGCTTGACTGTGGTATGAGGCGAGAATACGGGTGCACATTTCAGAAGAAGAATTAGAGCTCGGTGCGGGGGGCTTGGAGAATTTGAGGTGAAGGCAGCGGCCATGCAACGCTGCAAGCTCCTGTCCTGCAAGGCTTGTCTGGGAGCCAGAAAGAGTGGCAGGGTTAGGCTCTCGGGGGCAGAGCTGCGAGGTGTCTCCTCTGTCTCATTCAGGGCCCGACTCACCGCAGACACGAAACGAATGTTTGCTGAAAAGTCGCTCAAGGCAGAAATTCTCGAGGGAAAGGGATCAGGAGGACAAGAGAGGGGGGATGTTTCTTCCTCACGGTCACATTTCCTTCTATAACCGTAAAAAAACAAAAACTAAAACAAAGAATAAACAAAGTCCATGTTAATAAGAATACAGAAAACCTAACTGTACAGACAAGTTGAAACCTTCCCTTTCATAATAACTGAGCTAAGCTGCATCTCTCTATATATAGTATATGCAACCACTCTTTCATTTTTAAAAATTTGGTCAAATTGTTGATCATTTTTAAACAATCACTGGTGTCATGGAAGCCTTGATTGAATTGATTACAACCACCATTTATTTGCGACAGTTTAACTGTCGGCTAATTTAGGGACCATAGAACGCAGGGCCTTTGGACCAGCTTGTATAATATTATTCCTTCAGAGAAAGAGCCTCTGTTTCTGTCGTGTGCCTTAAAGGCACACATGTAGAAGATAACAGTAACAAATACCGTTCTGTTTTACCTGTAATATTGCAGCTGAAGATCATAAAATCGTAGAACAAGAAGGAAACTGAGAGATTACCTCTAATGTCTTCATTGTATACAGGAGACATTTAAGCCAAGGGAGAAAAATAACCATTTTTACAAACTTTTCAGTATACTTTCTTTCTATTGTTGATAAATGAGAATCAAATAACTCAATAGATTTTCCCTGTTGCTTCAGTTTTTAAAAATCTTAGAGCCTAATTGTCTACACACGGTTCCCAGCAGCCTTTAGGCTGTGCTTTCCTGGCAAAGTCTGTCCCATTTTTCAGTAAAAACTGCCATCCTACATTGTGACTTAATCAATAAGCCACTTCAACCCACTTCAAAAGAAGGCATGGTACCAAAAATAGTAATTACTCACAGAATAAAAATTTTACTCAAGAATCAGTTTTTATAATGTGCTCCGCTAATGGGGATCATACTCTGAAAAAATATTTTTTCTCTCCAAAAGAACCAAGTATTCCAAAATGTGTGTGTTTTACAAAAACACCAACAGTGACCGCACCATCAAAATAAAGGCAGGACGTCATCTGGAGAATGGCCAAGTTATCCTCAGCATCGTATCTGCAAAGAGTTTGGCCTCAAAGTTGTGGTAAATAGTGTGACTACCTGTGAGGAGTGAAGATGCAGTTCTCTCCTGACAAATCGGCATCTCCCAGGGCACCTCAAACATTCTGGGTATCAATGAACAAGTTAGGGGAGAGATCAGTGTCCAGCTTTGGCTGTTAAGAGCATTGGCCTAACTTCTCAGCTCCAGTTTCCTCATTTTCAAAATGAGAGTAATAATAGAACTTATAGTGTTTTCATGAAAAGTTAATAAACTCATAGCCTTTTGAGCAGTGTCAATAATTCTGATTATTATTATCATCACTATTCTATATTAAGCATTAACTATGCACTAGGCACAGAGGTTTAATAGCCAGAATACTACAAGACATGGCCCTTGACTTCAAAAAGAAGAATAATGCACATGCAAAAATCCTATTAGATGTATGTAGGGAGATGAGACTTTTGATTTTTAGAAAGCATAATTAATTTAATTTAATGCTATTTTATCTCAATGAAATTGAACTTTGTAAATATAGATTCAGGAAAGTAATACTCACACTCTGCTGCAGTCATCACAGAACTTTAGTCAGGGAAGTGGGACGTCGCATGGACGTGGTTCAAAGGACCATCTCCTGACACGTCCATTATTCGCTGGGTGGCCTCTGTTTTGAATTTCCAAGAAGACAATTTATTCAAACTGAAGTTTTATTAATACTGAGGTAAAAAAGTATTACTTTCACTTCATAGACACAGAATAAAATACATTTTATCCTTTAATACGAGCTAAAACTTTCGAAGTTCCATGATTACAGATAAGCCCTTTTTCCACATTTCTAACTTTTAAATTTCATGTATTTCTTTAAACAGTAAGCACTGCTGAAAGCAAGTCATCTTTTTCCATTAAGAGGGGTCACATTCTACAACCATCATGCTTCCCATGATCAAGTTCATGAGCCCAGCCCCAGAAGCGTGAGTCTCTCTAAGACCAGCACACACCGCGGACTTCCCGAGCTACAGGCCAACGAAGCGTCAAGATTCTGACGTGGCTTTCTCCCCTTGTCAACCTCAACAAATGAATTAGCATTGAGTCGAGGTCACCTTCATTCTCTACTTGTGTGGCTTACTTCCCTTTCATGTGACTGGTTAAATTTCACTTTCTAGCTTCCATTCAAAACTAACAATTTTTTTTTTAATATCTTCATTCCTTCATTTAATGGCTCATAGGAAGTTGAGCTTGAGAAATGGAGACCATCTACAACGCGTATTTTCTATGTGAACATGACCTGACTATCCCACTATGTGGATATCACTTTAACACTCCGGGAATCTCTTGCTCAGAAAGACAAGTTGCAAATAACTTCATGGTCCATTCCATAAACTTCCCCATGATTCATCAACTTTTCCATAGAAAACATCAAATGACAGTTCACATCCGCAAACTCCTTAAACACTTGTCTCAAATCCTCATCCAGTTACGTCCACCAGTGACAACTATTATGCTGCAGTCCTTCATGCAGTCCTTCATGCAGTCCTAGCTACACATCTGTGTAGACAGCCCTGCCTCAAGCCACACTCCGAAAGCTCAATAACTGTCCCCGTTGTCCTGTCCCTTTCTGAGACAGCACCGACGCTCCACTCTGTCTAGGGCTTGTCCCCGCTTCCTGAGGCAAGAATAAACTCAGCTTTGTCTAATCGCAGGTGGTTCTCGTGCCATTTTGTGGAGCCAGCATTCGACCTTTCAATGGTTCGTGGAGCTTCCAGAGACGCACGTGGAATAGAGAGAGAGGCAATGCTGACCTGGTGAGATGGCCAGGTGAGCTGCATTACCGCCAGCAGTCAGGGAAGGAAGGAAGGCGACTGCAGGGTCCCCTCACACCCACAAACCAGCTGTTCGGCTTCCTTACAGAGGAGAACCGTGATCTCTACAGGATGGTAGTGGTTAGCGCATCCATAAATGGAGAGAGTGTGTCTGTAAATGGTTAGAGTAATAATAGCTACTAATATCTAACGCTATCTCAGGGTTGAATGGGGATTAAATGAGTTATTGGATGCCAAGTGCTTCAAACAAGCCCAACGCGTAACAAGTACTTAATCTACCTTCTTCATTCAAGTCACTAATAGAAATTCCGACTAGGACTAAATGAGTGCAGCGTTTCAGTGGTTTACGCAAGATGCCCCCAATGGGATGTAAATCTGTTAGCCAACGATCTGCCTGGTACAGTGTTCAACAAATTGTGCCTTTAAGTGATGACACTATCATTTAGTCTGTATTTCTTCAACCTATCTACCAAAATATCTGAACATATTATCTAAACATAGAAACACAATGCCTAAGGTATTTTCCTATTCTTAAGGGTAATAGTCCTTTTTTNCCAGGACTCTCCAAGAGCTACAGATGGCAGTCTCCCCTCTGGGAACACAAATGAGGGTTCATTGAGGACCAGTCTTCCCCGCCCAGGCCAGGGGGTCCTCACAACGGTTGCCCAGCATCTCGTCTAAATTCCCACACTTCAGGGGCTGAGTTTCAATATCATCCTTGTTCCTTCACCATCTATGGCAGCGGTTCTCAACCTGTGGGTCGCGACCCCTTTGGGGGTTGAACGACCCTTTCACAGGGGTCGCCGGGTACTCGTATGTGGGCGTATCTACATGTGGGCCTGGAGACGGATAGAGAAGTGGTGTCTCGGTTCCTAAGACCATCGAAAATATGTGTTTTCCGATGGTCTTAGGTGACCCCTGTGAAAGGTTGAGAACCGCTGGTCTATGGATTGCGAAGGAGGAAATAACTTTGAAGTTCATAATTCTCTGTACCAAAAGGAGCCATGTTCTTATCTGAGATCATGGACTCTATGCTGGATGAAGAATGCTTGGATTGTCTCATACGGAAAGACCGAATGTCCGACTGGGGAGAGGAGAGGAAAAGATATTTAGTTATTGAAAGAGTGGTCTACGAGTACGGCTGACTTTATGACTGCATACAGTTCCTCTCCTCCAGGTTCACAGGATTACTGTATTCACCACCGGAAGTTCAGTGTGGCCCTGTGATTTGCTTTGGCTAATTCAAGGTGAGCAGAACCAATGTGTGTCACCTCTGGATAGAAACATTTAATTGCAGGTACTTGAGTCTCCTGCCATGACCATATTAAAAATCAAGTGGAGAAACACGGCTCTGTAGAGTCACCGAGGCCCATAGAATATTTGTATAAGCAAGAATTCATTTCTGTTTTAAGCCACTGAGATTTCTTCCTTTGCTACTCTAGCTTTACTGAGCTCATCTTGACCAGACCAGGTCTGATACTAAAACTGGAATAAATATGTTCCTCAATTTTCTGTCTCCTGTGGTTATTGAACTCATTTTCTACAGAGTATTCTATTTTAAAAGAAGGTATCCAAGAGATAATCTAACAAATTATAGCTTCAAACTGATAATAATATGCTATAGTATTTTATGTCTGGTTACTCTATCCTTCAAAATACAAGAATAATTTTAACTACATGAAAAACAGTCAAATAGTTTGATTGAAAAAAACTTGTATCCTGAATCCTTCTATTAAGTGGTGTTCCCTCTCAAAAAAATAAAGATAAGAGTAATCTTTTTGAGTTTTGTTTTGTTTTTTTAAGAATGACCATGCTTCAAACTCTAATGTCATTAGAGTGTACTCTTCAACACGAATCCAACAACCTCAAACCCCAGGCATTTTGCTTGATCCTATGAGTGAAAAAGTCCTGTAGACCAA